TGTCTCAAAATAAATAAAAAACAAATAAAACAATTAAAAGGCAATCAAAGTAAGCTAATTAAATACAATGAAGTCCACATACGAAGAAAAAGCGGGGAAGGGGGAGGGGATGGAAGTAGGGAGACAAGAATGGTAAGAGAAGACATGGAGAGGGAGGGAAGGGGGGAATGGTGGAAAGAAGGAAGATTAAAGACGGATGGAAGGGAAGCAAAGGGAGGAAAGAAAATGGGAGAAAAAGGGGGAGAAATAGGATAGAAAAGGAAGGATGTCAAGGAGAAGGTAAGGTGGGTAAATAAGAGAAAGGGACGTGCGTACGTGAGAATGGAGAGGAGCGTAAGAGGCTGTAGTGGATAGTGAAAGTATAGTGTGGATAACTTTCTGACGGGAGTGATGCGGCCCCACTGAGTGCCCTTAGGCCAGCTGAGACGTTGCCTAGTCAACTTGGTCCTCATCACTGTCCTCCTTCCCGTTAGTCATTCATATCATTCCATCTTCACTGTCAGTTACATTTACTTATTGCATCATCTTTATGACCGTTATATGTCTATAATCCTCTTCATTTAATCCTTATCATCCTTATCCTCATCTGCTCATTTTTCTCATTATCAGCGCATTATCAGAAAGACAGGGCGACGAAATAGTAAGAGAGACGAAAGCACTAGGGAATAGGGAGGTAGGGGGAGGGGGAGAAAGGGATGGAAAAGGGGAGAGGGGAGGGTGTGACAAGAGAGGAGAGGATGATGAGGCAGAGGAGAAGAAGAGAAGAGAAGAGAAGAAAAGAGAAGAGAAGAGAAGAGAAGAGAAGAGAAGAGAAGAGAGAGAGAGAGAGAGAGAAAGAAGAGAAGAGAGAAGAAAAGAGAGGAGAGAGAGCAGCACAGACAGACATCCCTCACCGCTAAAGCTGATGTCAAAAGAAACCAAATGAAGCCAGAAGATAAGGAAAAAAGCTCTCTCTCCGTGTCTGACATCACCACCGTATTGGCCAACACACCCTGCCTGGTCCAGCCGGCTCGCCCCGTCACCCATGCTTAGTCGCCCTTGCTGCTTCACACGGGGGCGGCCGTCAGTCTGTCTGTCTGTCTGTCTGACAATCCCTCAGGGGTCATAATTCATCCTAAATCTAATTAATATGCAGGCAAATGGGATGTCGGCGTTTTCTGATTATTTTTTACCAATAGTACTCGAAAGGGGAATTCTACCTAATAAATGTGCATACAGAAACGGGCTTCGCTCTACACAAGAACATGCTGTAAACTACGCCCAAGCTTGCGATTAAGAAAGAACGAATTCGAATGCATCTTGGAATCCTAAATAGGAAGTGCACAACCCCGCCCCTTTTGAGGGTAACCAGAACCCACCCAAGACCACCACAAGACCTCCTTATCCCTCCCCTCCCCTCCCCTCCTCCCCCGTATTATTGCATATACCAGACTCATATATATATATAATCATATATAATCGTAAAAACTATAAATCTCATACTGTATAGTATATGTATGAAATAAAATAGTCGAATCCTTTTATTCCAAGCGCATAGCATATGTTACGTACAAGTACAAGTACAAGTAGAGTACATAACATATAGTACACAGCATAATCGAAATCGCAGTAAAACCTTTCACTGAAAATCCCTCAAACGCGTCTCTCTCCCCCCCTCCCCCCCGCCCGTAGATCCGCGCTCAGAGACGCCCCACAATCCAAGCAGTCTCACCGGCTGAAACTGCAGACATTGCAATTACGGGCAACACGACGTTTCATCCCCGCGCCCACAGTTACGTGCGACGCGTGGAAATGACCTGACCGTCTTTAACGTCATTGCACATCTCATTGTCTTACGTCTGGGATGCAAGAGATAGCAATATTGCGTGTGGACGGGAAGGGAGGAGGGGTGGGGGGAAGAAAAGGAAAGAAATTGAGATGGTGATAGGGTGGGTGAGGAGGAGAGAGAGAAGTAGAAAGGGAGGAGGAGAGGGAGGAAGAATGAAACAGAAGGGGAAGAAGAATGAAACAGAGAGGAGGGAAGAGAGAGTGAGTGATACACAGACTCGAAGAGACTGTATGGGCGAGCTCCTGCCTGCCCACCGACGCCCCGAGTTCACGGCCGCGAAGACGGGAGACCCGCGTCCCTAGCGAGTGACTCAGCGCCGCCCGACCACCACATGGGCCATCCATCCGCCCGCCCGCCCGACCGCCCGCATCACACCACCACGTGGCCCACCCACGACATATCAGCTTTCCCGAGATACAGTCATGCATGTTCTCGGCCTTCTCACTTCTCTCGTATCTCCTTTACTATTCTTCATCTCTCTTCTTTCCCTCCCTTTATTTGCTGCTCAAACCTCTTACTGTCTGTCTCTTCTTCCCTCCTCTATCCTCCCTCCCTCCCCCCCTTCCTACGACTGAAGCTTTATTAGACAACTTTACGAGCAGCGGCCCAGGCACAGGCACTACGTCAGACCCTCCGTCAGGCATCCGACTTGGACTCGCCCAGGCTAAATGGCTGTGTCCCCGCGTCCGGCCCACGCATGACCTCCTGGCTCGGGTCATTTGCACTTGATAACGGCGCAATGAACTCAAAGTCCCCAAGCTCCCCTTCTTTCCTTTCCCTCCTCCACGCCCTCTAATTCACTACACCATTTTACTCTCTCATCCATTGAAGCTCAACATCATACAAACAAGCACGCTCATACATAGGCAAGCGCGCAGGTACACATGCAAACACGCACGCCCTCGCGCGCACGGACCCGTACCGCCCTGTAGAAGCAAGCGCTCGCGCGCGCACGCACGCACACAATCAAAAAGTCATAGTTACATTGAAGCGTAATGTACATGTTCAGCAAAAGCAAACGCTTGACATGAGATTCCACGAAATGCTGAGACGAGTAAATAATAGACAGGATAAATTCTAAGAAACTAATAAAAGACTGAGATGGTGATAAATAAAAAAGTAAACAAAAACAAAACAACTATCACAAAAACAAGCATATGTAAAAATTGACATCAAATCATGACAGAAAAGTTTAGCATAAGCGGAGCACAATGCCGAAATAAAAACACCATGACAATGGAAGAAAAGGACACAAAAATAGACAAGATAAAACGTTCTGTTCACTAAAGGAACTTAACGTCAGTATCCTGGTCTGAATAAACAAAGGAGGCGTAACTGTCGCTACCACCGGCCCCTTTCTCTCCCTCTTTCCCTCTTCCTCTCTTCCTCCACCTCTTGCTCCCTCTCCCTCTGCCTCTTTCCCTTTTCTCCTTTCTCGTTCCTCCTCCTCCGCCTCCTCCTCTTTTTCTTTCTCTCTCTCTCCTACCCCTCTCCCTCTTTCATTCTTTCCCTCCCCTTCTATCCATCAGCATCTTCCCAATAACCTCCCCAACACCAGCTCCTCCACCACAGGCCATGCAAGACAACACCTCCAACTGCAGGAAACAAAGATAAGTGTATTGTGGTAACAGATACCAAAGCAACAGCAGTTCCACGAAAGAGATTAATTCCTTATACTTGGAAGTGACAGCAGCGCGGAATCTTACAGCATTTTTAACCTAATTACATTTCAGAGTTTAGAGCAGCGATTATTCACAAACTCTTTGCAAAAACGGGCATTTCAGTGGAGTACACTGATTAATGAGAATGCAAAACACAATTCCCTCATGATGTCAAGTAATGATAAACATACACTTAAGATTACATGAAACACTGTTATGTAAACAGTCTGTATATGCATACGCATATGTATATAAAAACCCGAGATTATGATTTTGTTTGCAATTCCTTCTAAAATACTCTGGAGAAAGACCGAAGCAATGAATACATACATACCACTGGTCTGGAGTCTATGCACTATTAGCCTGACCAGATTATGCAGATAGTCTGCGACACGAATATGAAGATCCTAGTAGGTTGAATTAGTCTTGATGTAAGCACTCTGAAGTAGAGCAACTCTTTTTGCATGTGATAATAATGTTTGACCATATTAGGCAAATGCTCCGGTATCTTCCCGGGTTTCAGCGCGGTATTTAATTTGTCCTGTAAATAAACTTTTTTTACATAATTTGTCTCTCTCTTTCTATCTCTTCTCCTCGCTCTCTATCTATCCATCTCCTGCCCCCCTATCTTTCTTTTTCTTTCTCTTTCTTTTTTTTTCTTTTTCTCTTTCTCTCTCTCTCTTTGTACTCAACCCTTTCTTATTTCAATTTCTCGATTTGTTCAATTTCTCTATTGTTCCTCTCCTACACCCTCTTCCTTTCTATCTCTATCTCGTTCCCCTCTCTCATGGCAACGTGGCTAAGATGGCCAAGTCATCACCAAAATGTTAAGATGAGCAAAGTCAACACAGATTGCGAGGCGACCGACACCAACGCGACCACATCACCAGTTCATAAAATATAGGCAGGTCAACTAAACAGTCACTTCATACAGGGTCAAACGAGGTCATACAATCTTACTATGTCAATTGGATTCATAGAGATAGTCACTTCAAACAAAGGCTCACGAAACACTACGAATTCGACGAGGAATCAATAACACTATTCGATTCAAATTAGTCTCCCCTGTTACTCAATTGAGCTGGTGTCTTTGATATGTTGGAAACGTACCGCATTCCTTCGTATTCTGTCTCTTGTTTCACTTCACATACTCTTTACTGTCTCCGCGTTTCTTTAACAGCTTGTAAATGTTAATCCAGCACACACACACACGCGCGCGGGTACACACACGCACACACACACGCACACACGCACACACACACACACACACACACGCACGCACGCACGCACGCACGCACGCACACACACACACACACACACACACACACACACACACACACAAAACAAAAAAAAACAAAAAAAAAAAACAAAAAAAACATTGCGTCAAACAGCACGTCAAAACCAGTGCTATCAAAGTCATCGTCAAATCATGTCACACGGGTAACGAACTATCCCCGTCAACGTCAGTGCAATAAGGTAGTCAATGAGAATCGCACGAAACTTGTACTTACCGGTTTGGGCATCTTGATGACTGATGCGATACTCCCTTGGACTTGACACTATCTGGAAAAGAGAGAGATTTGCTATAATCACATCCATGAAGATCGTATAAACAATAATGGTGATTGTAATTGTGATGGTATTACTGGTAGTGGTAGTGGTAGTGGAAGTGGTGGTAGTGGTAGTAGTAGGTAGAAGTAGTAGTATGTAATAGTAGTAGTTGTTGTAATAGTAATAGTAGTAACAGAAGTAATAACAACAATAATAATGAAGGCAAGTGCAACAAATAATAGCAACAGTAATAATGCTTATACTACTACAACAAAATACAAAGACAACGACGAGTAAATTGTCAAACGTTGTTTATTCATATTTTCCACCTTTTCCACTGGCAAATTTCCGTAAAGTTTTTTCATACCTCAAACAAATGTAGCTTTCACCAATAAGACACTTTAGTCTAGAACAGCATATATGTATGAACCCTACAAGATTTTTTTTAATCGCCTTTTAGTTGGGAAGCTCAAAACATCGACTGTTGCAACACATCATTATATATGCCAAGCGATGATGCATTGTGCGCCGCTACGAACAAGACAACTTACAAAATACATAAAAAACTCGACTAATAAAAATAATGCACCCTTCCTAATCCAGGGTACGCAGGAATAAATACCCCTACCCATCCACCTTCCATATCCCATCCACCCACATCCCTCTATCCACCCACCTACCAACCCACCCTCTTACCACTCACTCCTCCATCCACCCATCTACCACCACACCACCCATTTACCACTCACCCCTCCACCCCCTCCACCCCTCCACCCACCGACCCGCCCATTGCAACCCCGGTGAACAACCTCGACTGATGGGGGTTAGCAGGAAATCCGAACAGAAGTAGGTTGGGGTGGCGGAGGTGGAGGCGGCGACAACACGACTCGCACGGAGCAAATTACGTCACCCCGGGCCGTGTTCGCACCGCGTCAGGGAAGGTCGTTTGAGAAGATTGGAGGTCGAGAGAGGAGAGGTGGATGAAGACTGGGAACGAATAAGGAAGGAGAATAAGTGTAAGGAAGTGAATGAGAATGATAGTATGAAGAGACAACGAAGAAAAGATTGACACACACACCTAGGTAGGCTTCTCCCCCTATCAAGTGTGGGGGGTACAATTGGGCATGACACTCAATATATGAAAGTACGAACTGACATCCCTGTTCCGTGGCGCTGCATGCCCTTACGGCTGGCAGAGGTCATTCATTAAATGGCGCATGATGAGCCATGACCCGAGACTTAAATGAAGGAGACAGAGATGGAGATAGAGATAGAGATGGAAAGAGAAAGTAAGAGTGAGGAGGTGAGAAGAAAGGAGGTGACGGGAGGTTAAACGAGAAAAGAAAAAATATAGAAAAGAGGAGAAAAGAGTAAGGGTGGGGGAGAGAGGTGGAGAGAGAGGGAAAGCGGAAAGATCGGAGGGGGGAGAATGGAGAATAGATAGGAGAGATGAATGAGAAGAGAGGAGAGGAGAGGGTAGAATGAGGGAGGAAGAAGGAAGTGAAGATAATAAAGGAAGAGGAAGACACAGAGCCTACCCAAAGAATAAAGAAAGGAGAAAAAAAGGATAAAACTAAAAGATGCGCCGACGGAGACGGAGAAGGTCTTCCACCCATCTGGCGCGCGCCCAATGCCATGAACTTTGTCACAATCACAACCACCACTACCACCTCGGTACCCTATACACCCGGTCGTTACCTTCACAACCTTAAAAGCAACCACATCTATTTATCGCTTTCCCACCAGCGTATCGATTTCCATCTCCCTTTCCCTGCAATGCATTACCAGTCTTCTTCCAACTCCGGCCATTTCACTCCAAGCATCTTCTTACCCTTCCACCCACTAACCCCCACCAACCCACCACCTCCACATCCCCCATCTCCACTTGCACCCCCTACCACCACCACCTTAACACTTCTACTTCTATCTCCACTAGCGGTACACACCCAAAAACCCACCCTACCCACAAGCTCTCACTCCTTCGCTTCGCCGGTTATAACTGCACTGTCGCCGGATCTTAAAACAAAGCCAATAATAGTAGCAAAAACAATAACAAATACCAATAATGTTAATATTGGTAATATTGATGATGACAATGATGCATGATGATAAAACAAAGTAAAATAAAATTAGAAGTAATAACAACAACAACAAAGATACAATGACAAACGTTGGAAATCAAACCTCAACATTTTTCGAAGAGAAAACAAATGGCAGTTTACACAAGTGGGGAAAAAAAGATTCTTCGTTCCGGGAAACGAGACAAGCAAAACAAACAATACGTGCGCTGACATGGCACAGAAAACTCTTCCAGATCCAGAACTGTGCTATAAAGTCTAAGATACAAATCACGCGTATGGAAAACGTGTCTACACTTAAGAACTATCAAAACTACATAAACAATAAGTATATATTGGTTGACACTGGCCGTATTAATAAAACGACAAATAAAGCGAAATATCAACACTGCAATTTGCAAGGAGCTGCAACACAACCCGTAAGCCGGTAGAGGGTAGGAGGGGTAGGGGAAGGGTAGGCGGGAGGGCCAAGGCAGGTCTCCTCGGATGCTTGCTATTCCCTACTTCGTTCTCTAGCAAAACGAATGTAAAAACAATCCCTTTCTAAAGATGGATAACAGAAAGAAATAGTTGATGAGTAAATAAAGAAGAAATGAATTGGCTCTTGAATAAGTAAAAAACGCATACCAACGAAACTTTCACCGACATTAATGGAATAAGAAAAAAAAATAACCATTTCTCCTAAACATTTCTTATACTTGACTGCGGAACACAGATAAATATAATCTAGTCATTCTCTCTTTTTTTCTCTCTCTCCATCCCGCAACTTTCTTTACTTTGTTCTCTCTCTCATGGTACGACATCCTGCATTCAATACGTAAAAATCTGTCTCTTCATACCCGGAAAAAAACAGAACTTATATGCAACTGCAACATTTCATCATGCAGCTGAAAACACCCTCCCCCTTATTGCCTTCACTGCTTTCCTCGCGTCTTCATCTCCCCGATGTCTGTTTTTCCTTTCGGTGTTAATAAGTTTACCCAAAAGAGAATTATTACAACCCGGGGCTCCGTTTGGCAGGCTAATGTAAACCTATAAAGGGCATCACTACTTTCATAAGGCAGGCCACACCCAGTTCATGCGCTCGGCGTTTACACTTCATCATGCGTACATTACCTAATGAAGTAATGGTGATAGGTCATGATCACAATAACAAGCCAACAAAGAAAGAGAAAGGAAACAAGGAGAGAACAACATGGAAATTATTTCCCGGTTCTGAATATCTAATGAGATTATATCCGTTTAAAGTACTTCCCTCGTCCTTGTTCTTTCCTATCCCGTACAACTTTTAAAAATGTATATATAAAAAATATATCCATAATACAGCAAAAGTTCTTCTCTCTCTGCGGCGGCGGTGGCGTCACAGCCCCGGGCATCAGCTGATTCTCTTCAACTGATGCCAACGCGAGCTCCCTACATTTTCAAACATCACACGAGTCATTCACCGTGCAAGTATAATTAGCGGTCTTGCGTGTTGTTGTTTTTTTATTTCAGTTTTTCTTTCTAAGCGATGACATTCGTATCTTGCCCAATTAAGAACACTATCAAGTCGACAGACAGACCTGACAAGTCAAGACAAGACATTTCTGAACAAGACATTTCAGGAAACCTTTGGAAACTTTTCTTCTTTAACCACGTGCATGGTTCGCAGCTGTCCATTTATATATTTTAAAACATATTTACACACATCTTCCAATTTCTCGATCTTAAATTACTTCAGACCCTTTCTTTTGCCGAATCCCAAGATCCCTTTGGCGCAAGATGGAAAGCCCGATGGAAAGCCGGCCATGTGACCGTGGCGTGACCGGCAGGAGGACCCGGCCAGGGATGGCGGCCGCACATCTATCTATCCTCTCGCTCCTTCCACGGGATCCGTGTTGGAATGGGGGAGAGAGGGAGGGGAAGGGAGACAGGGAGGGAGAGGGAGGGAGGGGGAGGGAGGGAGGAGAGGGGGAGAAAAGGGGGCGAGGGAGTAAAGGGTGAGGAGGAGAGAAAGGGATGCCCATACATACACGTTCCATCCATACCATTCACCCAAACCATGAGTGTACCCATCCTCCCCACCCTCTCCCTGCCTCCCTCCCTCCCTCCCTCCTCCTCTCTCTCTCTCTCTCTCTCTCTCTCTCTCTCTCTCTCTCTCTCTCTCTCTCTCTCTCTCTCTCTCTCTCTCTCTCTCTCTCTCTCTCTCTCTCTCAATCTTCAAAATGTGTACAATATCTTTTAAAAAATTATAATGAACACCTTTCCCCATTTCGCTCGCCGTCGACCCTATTTTCACCATTCAAACGACGCCACATTACCGTTCTTCTCAGCGCCCTTCCTGAGGTTAACTTTCCCACCTGAAAAGGCTCTGTCTCCCAGGTTAAAATCGGAACGCAAATCTTTACCTCCGTGTATAATAATGCTATTGGCCATATTGAGAGAATTTAAATGCTGGCACTGTGCAGTACGAAAATATTACTGGACTGAATGTTTTTTTTTGTTTTTTTTTGGAGTTGTTTATTTATTTATTTATTTTTTATCTAGAAATACACGTTCCTGAAATTAATTAAATACAAAAGTACCTTTCTGCAAGTTCACACGCTTCACTCCAGCTGCAGTAATATATATGCAAATGAAGACATATTACCTTTAAATTCGGTTGATTCTTTTTTCACAACTTGGCAATTCCTTTACAATTTCTTACTTCACATTAATTCTATTGTTAACACGTTATCATATTACCGAATGATCCATTTTTATTCACGAAAATAATGAATACTGCACAAATAACATGTTAAACCGCCCTATTTCCAGCCAATCTTACATAATCGGATGTTTCACTTATGCATCACCGACAACCCACCTTAAAGTAGTACAAAGGATGCATTATACACCTGCAGAACACAAAGTGAGTTCAGGGTGGGAGAGAGGGAGAAGGAAAAACAGTAGGTG